TCCTCGCGAATGTGATTATGAGAAAAACGAAAAGAAAAATGTCTAGTGTGTTAAAAAGGGATGAGCCAGAAATTCTCTGATTATATCAATCAGAATTCCGGTTCTCTCTCAGCTAGAATTCTAGTAGACTTAACTAGAAAATTTTGATTCGTCCGTTTTCATTCAGAATTCTAATTAATCCAAACATTTTTCTCAGTGCAGCGTAAATTTAAATATTATGTTAGCAAATTATGATAGATTATTTGATTAAAGCCCACATGAAAAAAACATTTTCCTCAGCACTGTTTTGAGATGACGATATATTGAATATAGGAGTAGTGGCGACTTAAATTAGATTAAACTTGACGCTGTAGAATTAACAGTGTGTATTTCCGGTAGACCACTGTAAACTATCAAAAATTAAAATATAGATAGACGAATAGATAAGCAAAATAAGTGACAAGTAAATATATCGCACAAGAACATATCTCTCACATTTTGTCGTTCGACGAAACTTCTTTAAACTACGCTGCGAAAACATTGACTAAAGATTCACTTTTCCCTCACTTTGGGCAATTCATTCAGAGACGATAGCCGGAAAGCAGCTCCTGGCGAATTCGCAAGGACCACAATGTGATTTAGGCTCGTGCACCAGCACGCGCGTGCTCTCTTTCTCTTTGCACCCCGAGATTAACGTGCACTCTTCTCCCTCGCGCTCGGGTCGCGTCATTCGAGACGGCGCGCGTTCGCCGTCACGCGGAACGTGCCGAAGAGACGCGTCAACGAAACGGTTCGGAACTGGTTCAACGAAGTCGGCCGTTCCCGGCGGTGCGCGCGCGACGAACAATATGAACTTCTGAAGAGGGGTAGGACGAACGAGCGGGGGAGGAAGAGGAGAGGTGGCGGAGGCAGAGGAGCAGGAGAAGAGAAAGGAAAGAGACGACGGCGGAGAAGCAGAATCGCGCGGAGCACGTGAAAGGTGATTTAAAGGGAAAAAGGAGGAGGTGACCGATGGAAAAGAAACGTGCGGAGAGAACGGAGGAAGAGTGAGGAGGGGAAGGGGGAGGGGGAGGGGACGAGGAGGGGAGGAGGGGGGAGCGAGGGAGGGAGGGAGGGGGAAATATAGATGGAGGGGAGGAAGGAGCATGGCGAACCGGTCGCAGCCTCCGCTCGTCAGCTGGAAGCTCAGCTGCAACCGGGCGCGGTGACCTCGACGTTGGCGTTGCAACGCGCGGTGGCGGTGCTTTGCGGAAAAGTCGAGTTGATTTGCGAACGATAACGGTGCCGTGACAACGTTGTCCTCGTTGCCCTACGCCCTCCAGGAAGCTCTCACGAGGAAGGCGTTCGCGCTTTCCAATCAGATGCGATAACATGTTTAGATTATACTGCAATGTATATTGCGTAAAATCTGAAAGATAATCTCCACGTAAATTCGAATTACGTCACGAATTAAAAAGGTTTTTTTATGAAACAACAACAGTAAATGTAACATCGTAAACAACAAAACTCTCATCATTTACTTGTTAATTATTTGCCAAAACTCGCAATAAAATGAGTATTCAATATATTTGTATAATACTGGAAGATTTTACGGAAAGATCGAAAAATTTAGCTAAGTGCAGACCTAAAAATAATTTGGTTGAATTAAAATAATTACATAAACATCTCAAGCACGATAAGCAATGCTGCAAAATGTTATATCATCCTAACAATCAGCTTGAGCATCCTATATAATTATTTAATTAATGATCCAACGAAATTATTTTCTGATCTGTATCTAGCTAATAAAGATTTCAGGAAAATCGTCTTTTCCATGATATTTTTATATTATATCCAAATTAGAATTCTATTATCCGTGGAGTTATTAAAATTCTATCATCTGAAATGCCTGAAGTTGAAAGAACGCAAGAATAAAGAATACTTTATGATACGACTGTTTCTATCATGCTTAGCTCGCGCGAAATAATTTGAATGGTTTATGCAATAGTAACGCGGAATGCCCCGCATAATTAAATCTTATAATAAGGATTCAGAATTAAATTCGCGCAATGTATACGGCGTCGTTCTCGACAATGCCTCTCAAGAGTAGCATAAAGACGAGCCACTTCAGAATGAACGACATTACACGAGATTACTTTGGTCGTCGGCGAATTATTTTCTCTTATTCTCAAGCGAGAAATTCATAATGAGATTTCATGATTAGAGCGTGCGATCCGTGCTAGACGAGTATAGCGAGCGATGAATATATATTTTTTTATATATTATCACGTCAACACGATTATTCTGGTTCTTCGCGATTAAATCGGACTTGCCTCTGTTCGATGGTCAAAATTACGCGAATGATGAATGAGTTCTCTCACCTGTGCAATTATGCGCACCGTGTAATACCGATTCATGTAGTTTAAGCACGCTACTTGATGAAGTACCTTTTCGTCGTAGCACTGCAAGTAATTTGATCCTCAAAATGCAATGTAAACGTGTATCTTTACATTTTCGATAACTATTTTACAAGACCGAACTTTTAATAATTTAACTCGATTACGTTAACATTTTATTTCATATGTGGAGGATGCAGAAATAAGTTAACTCGAATACGTTAATATTTTATAATCATATATACATGGAGAGAACGATTTTGTTCAAACATTCAAAAATTCAGGTGAATGCAGGTCTGAAAATAATTTTGTTAGAGCATCAAAATAATAATGTGGGAAACTCAAGCGTAATGAAAAATGTTATAAAAGGTTTTAGCAACCAATTCGAATATCCTACTTATTTTTATAGCCCAAAATCATTTTCAGATCTGTATCCAGCTAAATTTTTAGACTTTAGCAAAACCCTTTCCGTATAGAGGTGATTTATGAATCACGTATCGATTGCTAAAAATAGATACCAATTTTCTCGCGATTGTCCATTTTGAAAGATATCAATCCGGTTGCCGTAGTACTGACGTCGATGGTATACGCGTCGTCGAGGTCAACACTGGGAATCAACGCGAGAATCTCGCGAGGTGAAATCGTCGATGCACAAAGTGTCACGTACCCATATAAGAGGGCGAAGAGAGTTATTCCTGTATGTTCTTGATATTATAGGAACACAAAGGGTAGACGATCGAGATGATAAATCTGACAAAGAAAGTCGGAAAGTGAAATTCAAAAAATTTTGAACTTTGCGTAAGTTTAAAGCAGATGGATCTAATCGCGAAACCAATTTTTTTAACTGCTATAATTTGGTTTCAGAGGTGCAATACTTTCTCGAATAAAATTAATTTTTACACACAGAAAAATCTCAGTTTGTTGCTAAGAAAAGTGATTACTTAATTTACCTCCTTTTTTTTTTTAAGACTCAATTATCTTTAACAAAGAATATTTTTTCTTAATAATATTTTAAAATATACTTATTACAAAGAAATTATTAATATATATTCAAAACAAGAATTTATTTAATATTCTTTTTTAAAGGATAATATAAAATTGAAAGAGCGACACTTTGTACAATATATATAAGCAAATTAAATTTAAAGATTCTCACGGTAATTACACAGACAATTACAATAAAATTTAAATTACAAATATTCATAATAATAATAGTCATCCTAGAGAATAATTCTAATCGTCGCAGAACGTATTTTGGAATAAATGCTCGTTTTCGTCAATATACAAAAAGAATTTTTCTGAAATATCTAAAAATTTATATACAGATCTGAAAATAATTTTGTTGAACCATCAAAATAATTATGTAAAACACTCAAGATAGTTGCTAAAATATAAAAATTATTTGCAATATTGTTCATTATGCTTGAATGTTCTACAAATAATGATGATCCAACAAAATTCAGATCTAAACCCCACTAAATTTTTAGACACCTTAGCAAAATCATTCTTTCCGTGTAAATTAATTTTAATCTCGATTCAACCTATTCTTCGTCCTTTCTTAATTCTTAAAACCAGACAAAATTAGCGAACCATCAATATAATTAAACAGAATTCAAAATAACTGTTAGAATACCAATCCTTTTTGCAATATTGTTCATTATGCGTTCTATATAATTCTATTAATGGTCCAACAAAATTATTTTCAAATCTTTATCCAGCTAAATTTTTAGACACCGCAGCAAAATCATTCTTTCCGTGCAGATTAATTTCTTTTTTCTTTAATCTCGGTTGAACTTATTCTTCGTCTTTTCCTAATTTTTAAAACCAGAAAGGATGAAGAGTAATAAGTTGAAGTAAGATTAAAGTTAATCTACATTGGTGGAAACGGGCATTAATCACCGAGAAAACGGCCGCGAGCGGAGATTCTGGGTGATGGCATTGAGAACAAAGGAACGATGGGGTTTTTCACGAGTAATCAAAAATGACCCAACGTCGCTTTGTGGGAAAGCGTCATTTAGACTATTATACACTTCAAATGTGAGAACGGACAACTGTTGTCACACAAACCCGACACTAAATCGACGCAATTCGATTCATTACAGGATGCCGAGAGAGCGTTCGATTCCGCCGACCTCGGTTAGCGCTAACCCTAGTTTAAACCGAACCCTCTTTCCCTCTCCTTCCCCTCTTCTGTCGTACCTTCGGATACGAGCGGGGGTCGCGTCAGCCGTTGATCAACGGCTCTAAATCAGTAAACTGTAATTTTCCTCTATCACGCGTAAATTACACGCAGGCCACGTAATCGGCGAACAGCGAATCCCAGATGAATTAGCGTTTCTAGCGATCAACCGCGGCCTGTCATCGTCAACGACGAGGCACGACGATCACGAAAACGTCCGCCGTATCACGTTCGCGGAATCGAGCTACGGTAGCAGCGAACCGGTCGGTCGGTCGGTGCATCAGCTGAGAGCCCAGCTGAACCCAGAGAGAGCGACCGCTGTAATAACCTCAAGCTATCTCCCTCTTTCTCACACTTACAGCACGCACACACTCACACGTTACACGTACGCGCGTTCGTGTAAACGAGTATACAGCCACGGGAGGGAATTTCGTGAAAAGCGCCGTCGACAAGATTCGACACCGTACCTGGTCTGTCCTGAACGACGTCCCGGTGGCTCGGCGATGATTGTCCGTGTAGATCTCGCCGATGGTTTCTGCGAAACTTTTCGAAAGCCCACTCTCACAATGGAATCTTCCAGTAGACTGGCCGAGCCGGCGGCGGCGAGCGGAGCGGAGCCGTTCTCCCTTGCGTGCGCACCCACCGTGCGCGGCGGCCGTTCGGCTTTTTCGACGGGGGAAAAAAAGACGCGATTCCGTAACGGGTATCACCGGTGACACTGACAGGACGCGTCCGCGTAACCGGCACGAGCACGCTGCGCGTCACCGGCACCGGCACGTATACTCGCAGTATGGAAAACGCGTACCACGGTAACGTGACGCGCGCGCGGATACCGCTGATGACAGCTCGAGCTCGGCGAGCTGTCACTCCGCGGCCACGGTGAGTCGAACCACCGTTATCTTCGTGTCGCTGCTGCCATCTACCGTCGCCAGACGGAAGCCCGAGACTGACACATTCGAGACGATCAGAGGGCCATTCGAAATGGCGATACTCATTTGCGTCAATTTGTCTACCTTTATAGAAATTTAATATTAGTATCGGCTGATTTCCGAATTATTTATTTTCAGTATTAAAAGTATTGTTAATAATACTTTTAATACTCAAAATAAATGATTAATTAGCCAGTACTACCGTCTTACACGAAAAGCAGTTTTATATCTATTTGATGAGTTTCTTTAATTGTATTAAAGAATTTTTTACTGTCTATCTTTATAGAAATTTAATATTAATATCGGTCAATTAATTACTTGTTTTCAGTATTAAAAGTACACTGTTAATAATACTTAATAATACTCAAAATAAGTAATTAATTGACCAGTATTACACAAGAAGCAGCTTTACAACTATTTGAAATTCTTTAATATTTTACGACAATTGCAAAGCTGGCTTGTCTGGTAAATGTAGCTAAGGTATTAAAGATTAACTGGCGAAAAATGTGAAAAAGATTTTTTTTAATGATGGATCAATATATTATATTTGATAGTACTATCTTGATTTAAAAAGATTTTATGTCAGAAGATTTTTAAGAACTTCTTATACTTTAAATTTATGAAGATTTCTGAAAAATAATTCTTACAGTTCTTCGGATTTAGGAATTTTCTTCAGAACTGGTAAAAATCTTAAAATATTTAGAATTCGCATATTATATATAAAAAGAGACATAATAAGATATACAAAATTTTTTCAGATTTCTCTAATTTTTTAGGAAGTTTCGCAAATTTTTAAATACAAATTGGAATATTTTAAACAATGCTATAAGAAAGTCTATATTTAATCTTTTCTAGAAGAATAGACTTTCTCAGCATTTCTTAAAAAATATTTCAATTTAAAAAATCTAACAAACTTCCTAAAAAAATATAAGATTCTGAAAACAAATTTTAAATAATTTTGAAAAAATCTAAAATTTACATAAGAATTACTCTGAAAAGCTATATGAAAAATTTTCAGAAAAATTATTACTAGTTTAAAAATGACATGATCGTTATATGTATATGAAATAATATATATATATATATATTGAGGAATGTAATTTGAGCGCGTAGATAATTAAGGGCTTGAATTTTCGGCCAAAATTCACTGCCAGTATTAACAATCTGTATAGTATACACATAAAGTAATAGATTTTCAGTGCTAGCAGTGAATTTTGGAACATAGCCTTTCAATATGCTTCGCTAAGCGAAAAATATGCACTTCGAGCTGCGCGAAAGACATAAGGATCATAATCGAGTGCCTTTGACATATGAATTTGCACTCACCGAAGTTATTCCCGCCTTTATATTTTAGTCTCGCAACATCCGATGATCCCCGATCGACGAAACGATGTCAATCATGAAGATCCGCGACAACCGATATGTTCCAGCGATTGTCCGTTGTTTTCATCGGTACTTCTGAGAACAATGCGCCTCTCCGTACATTTCTAATGGACAAAATTCACGATTAATTACGGAGCGATCGCACTCCGTGTAACTCCGAACCGACGCGCCGCGAAAACTGTCATGGCGGCCGGTTGAGCGCGCGAAGCCAGTATTTGAACATCGAGACGGTTTGAAATCAGAAACGATTAGAATTAGACTTTCTATGTGAATTTTAGTAACATATAATAATTTCAAATTGTCTCGACATTCATTCCTTTTTCTTTACTTAAAATGAGACATTGAAATATTAAGAATTGTTATAAATTGTTTTTCAAAAAAGGTTTTAAAATTAAATTTTTACATATAATTAGCTCTACATTACTTAATCACGTGGTGTTTTTTAAGTAATATACTTGCGTGAGTTATTTCTGACACCCCAACATTATACAGTATTGATCAAATAATCACAATATTTAAACTTTTAGTACAAAATTTTATGGCATTTGCTGTAAGTTATCCTTTGTTTCAAGAATCTTTTAATGCCAGTAATCAATAGGTAACAATATACAGATAAAAGAATTTAAGATAAATGGAAAAAAATAGATGCTTAATATTTTGACCATAGCTATATTTTAATTTTTATTGTTCTCTTTAATGATTTAATAAAAATTGATATTTTACCCTTTAAAACTTCGAAGTAAAATCTCACTCTTAAAGATTGAAAATTAAACTTTTTTTTTCAATGCTGACACAATTTTTCACTCTTTATAGTGAGATTCGATTCCAAAGAATTTAGAAAGTATATATTCTTTATCTTAGATAAAGATAAATGTAATTTTTATAAATTATGAAACAATTTGCGGTAGATATAATAATGTGTGTAAATAACATTTACACTTCTCGAATTTGACAGATATCCTTAATACCTCATGTAAGTAATAAAATGTTGATTAAATGTGTTAAAATATCATTATATCAATTAGAGAGAGAGAGAGAGAGGAAATATAAGCAAGACTCTGATTAAAATAAATCATTGTTTCGCTAATTTTTTATTATAACAACTTGATTTCTTTCGTACAAAAAAAGGAACGTTTCCAGATCGTTTACAACAACTTTTCACCTCTCAAGCGCATACGTTCCCTTGCAGTTTCATTTAATAAATAATATTTTTATTGTTTTGTTCTACATTCTCTCTATAATTCGTTCTTTTACAATTCTGTCATGCACTTAACATGCGTATGTTTATTTCTTTAAAATAACGCTTCTCTCATCGATTAACAATCGATACCTCCATCTTTTGGACATTTCGTTTAATCAAAAAATTGATATACAATACAAATATATCCTAATATAATATATCACATTGTCTAAACGATATTAATAGAAACGAGTGCATTCCAGAATTCTGTTTTCAAGATAAATATTGTGAATAATACAATATATTTGTCAATAATGAGAATTTAGAATTGAATTAGAACCTGCTGGTGGAACATTTCTATGCCGAAATTGCGCTCTATGATAATGACGTTGATGATAGATGAACGTTATGTATTTATTCGCGGTTATTGTAACCGCTTTTTGAGTCTGTGCGCAATAGCTGAGACGAGTGCGGCACCTTTACCACTTCCATCTTCCGCATGAATTAATTTGAACTGCAATTATATAAAATAAATATATTGTATAGTAAACATTATTCAAAGGAAACTTTCACAAACGATAGATAATATTAAGTTTGGAAACAGTCCAAATAGGGAGTGAAAAAGTTATTTTCTATTTCTACAAAAAGAAAATAAAGGTGTATGTTGAATTGTTAATATTAGAAACAGTGCATTTAGAACTTCAATTTTTAACATGTTTGTAACCTGGACCTTTTTTTTGCCACAAGCAAAATTTTACTTTCAAAATATAGAAAAACAAAATGAGATTTCCTTCTTGCTAAGTTATACATTTGTCAACAAATTTCCATTTTTTCATCATTTTCCTCGAATTACAATTTTTATTAAATAACGGTTGTAACATTGGAGATAAAAAATCCAGATTGCAGACGGAAGGAATAAAAATTGCAGAAGGTTAAAGACAGAACTTCGTACATTACACCTCTCACGATAAAATGCACATTTTTTCAAGATTTTCTTTTAATACTTATTTAAACAGCACTTTTTTCTAAACAAAGAAATGGTTTTTATGACTTACAATAAATTTTTATTTATTTAATTAAATTATATTATTATGTATTTAATTAAATATTTATTTCCGTACTTATGCATACCTTTCTTCCTGGAGTACAAAGTAGTGAAATATACTGCTTCATCCAACCTTCTAATCGAGGATGATGCTTGTAGAGAGATCCGTCTACGGCGATTGTTACTTGTTCTTTATCAATGCGATCTATTAAGCTCGCAAGACCTTGAACAGAAATCATCATGAGTAAAAATTTTTGCTTTACAGACATCGTTTAAAGTTTTATTGATACATACATATCGATACTAAAAGAGCTGCGCGGTTAGAGGCGACCTCGCACACATATTGAACGATTCTGATGTCATCTTCGTCCGGAATGATGCCAAATTTTGCAAGAATTTCTTTCGTGTTGCTGTCGCCACCATCTAACGAATCTCTGGAATTACGAAATAAACATTGTATGAATTTTTTATTGTCAGATTAATGCCCGTTTCCACATAGAAAGAACGATTTTGCTGAAAGATATAAAATTTTGAATATCGATCTGAAAGTAATTTTGTCGCATCATTAAAATTATATTAAGAACTAAAAAACCGATAAGTAATTTTATAAAAAATTTTAATATTCTAGCAATCAGTTTGAGTTTGCAACAAAATTATTTTGATGATCCAACAAAACTTGTTTTAAAATTGATATCCAGTAAAATTTTAGATCACTTTCACAAAATTGTTTTTTTTTATGCATTAATATAGATTAATTTTAATCTCGGTTTAACTTACTCTTCATTTTTTTCTAGTTCTAAAAATTAAAAAGTAAAGAAGATATAAAAATTCTTAAAATTAGAAAAAGATAAAAAGAAAATTGAACCAAGATTAAAAAATTAATCTGCATTCATGAAAATTAATATAAGAGTGAACTTACTGCTCGATGTGCGACACCAAATCAGTGGTAAGATTACCAGGTGTTAGGAGGCTGTCAGATGTAGAATCTCCTACAAACAAAAGCTTCTCTTTGGTCAACTTCACAAGTATCACGCGCACCACCTCACCAAGATATTTGCCAGCAATGTATTTTTCAAATCTAAAAAAAAAGAAAAAAGTCACCATGATGTACAAGAATCTTTTTGATACGAATCCTCGCGTCCTAGTTAAATTTAGCAATCAAGAATTCCTGCAAAAACTTATCTGCGCACCTTCAAAAATTCTTGAGTCATAGATATAATTCAATAAATAAAATTCTTATGTCATAGATATAATTGAATAAATAAAAAGTTCTTACTTAATTCGTTCCCACGCGCTTATCACTTTTTATCTAATTATTAAAAAACTCTACATTAATTATATCAATTATTAGTTAATTAATTTTGATATCTAAAATATTAATTTTTTGTGCAGATAGAGACAAATTGATAAAAATGCAATTTTATTGGAAATGATA